ATCCATCTATTAACGTTGTCTGAAAATGCCCTACGCATAAAAAACAATGAACCGTCGCAGCCGTTATTTTAACACACGCCAGCCACTTTGGTCCGGTCGCCCAACCCACAAATTTGCAACCATATACAAAAAAGGTATTTGTGTTTTCAAGAGGGAAAAGAACACTCATTGTCTAAGTTCTTCCTTTGAATAGAAATGTTTCATATCCACTTTTCAAGTTTCCATAGAAAGACCGTATGCATGCCACTTGTCAACTCTCCAATCTAATTAACCTGTCAATCCCTTTGTGGTTATGAGCAAGGCCTATGCTAGTTCACAGCATTTAGGCCCTTTGTGCCGCCTGGCTGAGATACTCGCGCTTCGTACCATGTAGTGTTGAGCTAGGCCTCCTGTAGTCTCAACGTGGTACGACATTTGGATCACCATTCTGTCGACGAAAAGGTACAGAACATGTCAAATTTCATAGCCATAACTCTAGCCAGCTATAATCCTCCTCCTTTTTACCTTAACAGTCCAAAGCAAGCCTCGTATGATACTCTCCCATGAGAGCAATCACATCACCATGTCCTGCCGACTACTCTCGATAAGTTGGACTTGGACACATGTAGTTGATCATCGTCAAGAATCTTCAATTGCCGACCTGATTGAAGATTCTTATGCCGACCGGCAGCTCGGTTAATGACTATCAGCAATCTTTCATTCTTCTCTTGAACCCCATTACCCGCTCGCTTCAATGATTTTTGTGTGCATTCCAAGTCAGTTGTGCAAAACGCTTCTAGCTTGAAGTTTGTTTGTTGTATCATCAGTTTCTTTCATGCATTCCTTCCGCTTAGATGATATTTTTGTCAACTCTGCGCACTGCAGCCGGCTGGTTTTGCTTGCTCATCAACCGTACTAGTGCGATTATGTATGTTGCTTTCTATGATCATCAACTTTGCTAGTGTGCGTCTGCATCGGTTTCTCTCACAATCATCCCGTGCTCTGGAGGGGACGGCGGCTTGAGAGTGTAAGGCAGCAGAGTGCAGTGGAATTCGGCCCAACGCGGGAGCAAACTCTTGACACGCCATATCAATGTCTGAGCCAGTTCCGTAAAACACTATTTTCTTTTCTTCGTCTTTGAATCTTTCAATTGCTTGCCACATGAAGCCATCGGAGAAGAGCAGGTTAGCATTAGGTAAGAACATGATCCAGGTTGCAAAAGGGCCCTAACAAGATGAACAGGCATGGCATGTCATCAGCCAGCAGCGAAGTAAATGGCTTGTGCGGAAGGGATCTGGATTGGTTATGGGACCGATTCGGTATGGCGTCGGAAAAGGTGCGGATTGTGATGGGGATAAAGGAGCAGGAGATTGACAGCACCAAGAGGCATGTCTATACACAATGAGAGTGGGGAGAAGGGAGATTAGAACAAGAGGAATGAAAGATAGGGTCGCAGTGTTCAAGGGATAAAAGTCAAGACTCGCCCTATGCATCTCTCAGGACTGAGAAGGACCAAGGATTGGTGCCAGATGGGATAAATTAATGATGGGCAAGCGATTCTAGTTTGGATAAGATCAAACAAGATGGCTAAGGAAAAAGTGGACAAGATAATGTCGACGAAAAGAGGGATGAAATTAAACCAGCAGTATGTTTCCATGCCATTTTTCTAGCGGCATGCATGCAGCCGCAAGTTTCAGAGTTCTGCATACCGAGCAAGGTGGCTGGTGTCACCAGCCTAAAGAATGGCCGCACTAGTTCAGTTTTTCATGGCTCGCAATGCGTTTCCAGGCTCGGCAAGGGAAGAGTCAAATATACTGGTGCTTTAAGATCGGCAAGATGAAATCGGGTCTGGTAAATGTCAAATGAAACGACTCTCTCTCTCTCTCTCTGTGTGTGTGTGTGTGTGTGTGTGTGTGTGTGTGTGTGTGTGTGTGTGTGTGTGTGTGTGTGTGTGTGTGTGTGTATCAGGTTGGCTCCCATGAGGGAAGTCGAGTCCCAGCACCTTGGGGTCAGAATGGAAAGATACAAATAGGGGGATTGGACACAAAGGGGTGCTGTAGGGGTTGAGCTTGATGAACAGCATGCGAGATGCCTCTCCTTGCGTCTCCCTCTGGATCATTGGGGTCGGAATTTCGAATGACAGGAAGAGAAGTTGCGCAGGAGCGTGGTAAGGGTCATGCTCAAACAAGATGGCATAGTAGCAAAGCGTGATAGCATGGATCAGCACGGGCAATGACGTGATCAAGAGCAGAATAGTCGGGGTCCCAGGGACCAAACGTGTACTGAGGATGGAGATGGGGGGCTAGGTGGCCAATGGCACTGCGAGGCATCAGGGCACAGCGTGCCAGCCATGGGGTCCAACAAGACGGGTTTGGCAAGAAGAGAACTAGATCAACAGGGATCAGGACAGACCAACTGGATGGTATGCAGGGAAGTGTGTCCCAAGATTGAGGGGATGCAATTCTCTCTCTCTCTCTCTCTCTCTCTCTCTCTCTCTCTCTCTCTCTCTCTCTCTCTCTCTCTCTCTCTCTCTCTCT